TTGAGAGCAGTTGAAGTGGTACTATGGGTAAGTTAAGCACGTCTTAACATTGTAGCAGAAAAGTCCAAAAGAAAGACTAGAACAAACTGGTAATTTGGAGACCCTTTGCCACTTTGCCTTCTCTTGTGATGATGGCCTTACAGCTCTCTCAGCCCTGAACCTCCCTTTCTCTCCCGTGGTTCCATTCCTGTGAGACCTCCCTGCCTTGTCCTCATCCTCTGCCCTTTTGTCCTCTTCTGTGACCACAGGACCATTTCCATGGAATGCAGATTCATACCCAGCCAGCCTTTGCCTCTACTGTATCGCTTTGGGACTTTAAAGATGCAGAAGTATTAAAACACACATAAACTTAAAATGGAAAGTTACCAAATGTAGCACAAGAGGCAAGAAAAGGGGTGATTTTTAAAGGAGATGTGGCTATACTTAGGAAAGGATAAAGAGGATGAGGTTGAGTCGTGAATATAATTCAGAGGCTCTCCAGTGAGTATTTTTTTTAGTATCAAATAGTGATCTTCTTTTGCTAACATAAAAATGAGTAAACTACAGCAGAGAAATAAGAATAAAGCTAATGAAGGGTTTTTAAAAAGAACTAAGTAAAACAAATAAAAAGGCTACAGGTGTAGCTGACCAAGTTTGCTGTGAAAAACCCTTGTTACATCTATTTCTGTATTGGAGTAATGTGTAGATTAGTGGATCGTTAGAGATTTCAGCAGTATAAGAAAGAATCAAATATCTTGCTTTTGGGTCTTCTCCAAAGTAAATTGCATAGACTTCTTAAAGAAGTTTGAAATCAGTAAAAAGATGTTAGGATCATGTAATTGTACTTTGTCTAGCTTCTAATGTGATAATTGCACATTGCACAACAGAACCATTAATAAGAGAAAGAAGTTAGTTTTGAGGTAACTGCATTCATTAGGGGCTGAAAATAAATGTTAAAAATGTTTAATTTGGTTAGAAGTTCTGCAACATTGTATGTACATATACAAAATTTCATTTTCTCCGAAAGTTGAGAATTCCAAGAACTGTTACATGTAATCACATATATGCCTATAGCTAAACGTTTTCCCTCCTTTAATATTGATATAGTTCATATATTTTAGGATGTTATGTAAATATTTTTACATGTATCTGTAGCTCCATCTTAATCAAATTTATGGTTAAAAGAGATTTGAGGCCAGGCGTGGTGGCTCACACCTGTAATCCCAGCACTTTGGGAGTCCAAGGTGGGAAGATCACTTGAGCACAGGAGTTTGAGACCAACCTGTGCAACATCATGAAACATCATCTCTACAAAAAAAAAAAAATATTAGCTGGGCATCATGGCACCTGTAGTCCCAGCTACTTAGGAGGCTGAGATGGGAGGATTGATCAGTCGCTTGAGCCTTGGAGGTAGAGGCTACTGTGAGCCATGATCATGCCACTGCACTCCAGCCTGGGCAACAGAGTGAAACCCTGTCTTCAAAGAGAGAGAGAGAGAGACTTGAGAAGGCTTGTGCCCAAAGCTTCAAGAAACTTTGTGATAGCATTTAGTTGTGTTTTATCATGTTACCTTCATAACATGCATTTTGTGCATGGTTCAGAGCAGAACCAGATCTCCCGAGGAAGCACAAATAGTTTTCGTTGCTAACTTAGTTATGAGTGAAGCCTCTGTTCACTTATAACTTGCCAGTTTCATTGGTGGAATAAGCCCCCTTACTCATGATTCATCAATATTCCTATATTAGAATTCCAGTTCGATGTTTGTCTCTAGTTGTCTGTGTGTAATATTCCCAAAGCTCCTTTGGAACAGCCCCGTCTCCTTTCATTCAGAGAGTCAGAGACGGTATCTCCTCCTCCTGCCTCTTCTATTCTGATTAGTCTACTTAAATATACTTGATGTTCTTTTTATTTTACAAGAGACTTGAGAGATGTTGGTTGTTTCTAATGGCAGACTACTTTAGCTGGGAAAATTCATTTCAACTTATTTAAAGCTTGTAAAATACACTATGGTGATAAAATAAAAGAGCTAGGTTTGACTTTTGAGTGACTTTTTGTCTCCTAACTGGCTTTGGGCCCCTTATAAAAACTGACCATTCTTGCATCACCTTCATGGTCTATGAATATCCCAAACCACTTGTAAATTAGTACTTCAGTGAAAAGCCTTGTGTTGCAATTAGGAAGTATAGAAAAGAAGGGACTCACGTGACCACCCAGGCAGCAAGCACTTCACAGAGTTCTCAAACCACACATCTAATCTGCTCTTTGGCTCTGCAGGTCTAGGAACTAATTTTCTTCAGCTCAGCAATGCTGTGTTATAACACTTTCCAAACGTCGAAGAGCCTAATTTATAAATTAGCATGGCAAGTTCTTCATTTACAGCAGATGTTCCTGATATATCGGTAACAGATGCTAATTAAGGCCCATCCATCCTCAGGAGTCAGGAGGCCAGGATCTGTACCTGACTCTACTGCTTCCTGGTTGTATGACCTTAGTTATACAAGCTACTTACCCACTCAGAATCTGTTTCCTCACCTGTAAAATGAGGATAATAGGACCACCCTCATGGGGTTTTTGTGAGGGTTAAGTTAACTTACGTATACATGGAAAATGCTGAAGCTGCTTAGTACCTAGTAAGTGCTCAATAAATGTTGGCAATTCTTTTAATTTGTTTGAGGTGCTTGCTTCTTGTGTCTACTCGAGAGGCAAAACTATAGAATGTTGCTTTGTAAAATTAGAAGAGAGTAACATAAATGTTCTTTAGGAAATCACTTCCAGGATCTCTCTAAGTGGGTGTCCCCGATTGAGAATACTTCTGTCTGCTTAATCAACAAGTCAGTTTATTATTCTTTCTCTGTAAGGTCACAATGGAAAGATGAGCACAAATACTTAATTATGGGTATTTCTTCTAAAGAAACATGAGAATAGGAGATAACAATTTGCCTGTTCAGCATCACAGACTTCCACCAGCTCTACAATGACCAACAGACTTCTTAATGAAACCTGAGAGGAACTGGCCAGGCACATTACCTCACGCCTGTAATCCCAGCACTTTGGGAGGCTGAGGCAGGCCCAGTAGTTTAAGACCAACCTGGGCAACATAGCAATACCCTGTCTCTACAAAAAATAAAAAATAAAAAGGAAAGGAACTCAGTCATATGAGCTGGGATTCTCCAATCCATCTCTTCCTTTCATTCTAAATGTATGCTGCTTGTGTCAGAGAATGGTTTATTCGATGCCATTCCAGGGGAACATTTCTGTATCTGCTTTCTTACTATGGATTATAGAGTTGCTTTCACACTTAGGCAAGCAACTAAGTAGGAAGCAGCCTTCATAAGGCGTCGGTGTATGTGGCCTGCGTTTGAGGCTCTCATCCGTGAATCAGCGCATTCTGTTTCCACAGAACCTGGGAAAGATGGACAAACAGTGAGATGTCCTATTCTTTGACTCTTCTTCCTCTGGTCTTATAAATTGCTTTTTTTTTTTTTTTTTTTTTCTGGTGAGATAACGCATTTTGGTTGCCATAGGGTACAAGGAATAGGTCACATCTTCGTTTAGTTCTATGATAGCATATTTTCCTAGTCCTCTTGATACAGTTTTATAAAACACTGTGTTCAGGATCATAATAAACTCCTATCTTTTGGAAGGGGGTTATTTGCAGGTTATTTGATCCTGTCTATGTTGATTTAACGCTAAGGAAAGGACATTAGAGGAGGCCTGAGGGGGTGCTAGTTGTCTACCAGAACGCGTTCCTCTTTCTAATTTGTGTAGAGTACAGCGGGGTGCGTGGCTGTCCTGCTGTAGACTGTTTCCTGGCTTCCTTGCAGCCAGATGAAGGCCACATGACTAAGTTCTCATGGGTGGAATATGAACAAAGTGATGCAGGCTGATTCCAGACCTCTTACACACCTACATGCGTGCTCCCCTCACATGCCCCTCACGTGCTCTTCCAGAGCACGCGCCATTAATATTGCATATGAGGACAACACCCAGGGGACAGTGGACCTGCATGGCAGCAACTTGGATCTCTGAATGACTGTGGGGAACAGAGCTACCCAGTAACTTGGCTGCTTACCTTGGGGCTGGTACATGAAAGAAAAAGAAAAATGAATTTGAGTGTTCTTTAAGCTACTATATTTGAGCTACCATATTTCCGTCGTAACAGCTTAGCTTTTTACCCTAGCAAATATGTAGACACATTTGCTGTACTTGTTTCCATTATACTATATTTGGAGTTTATAGCTCCTGTTCTGTTATGAACACAGCTTTATAGAGTGGAAAGAGCTTTTGATCAGTTCTGGAATCAGATTCCACTTCCACCACTTAGATGTCATCTTGTGCACGTTAACTCTTCCGGCCTTATATTCTTCCTATGTATAATGAAGATAACGCTAATGTGTGGATTAAAGGGCCTAGTATCAAAGGACTGAGGAGAATTCCAGATATAAGCCACTCAATAAATGCCAATTCCCGTACAGTTCTTTTTA